CGAGGAGCTGGTCTACGTCCAACAGCTCGGCCTCTTCACTATCCCGAGCTCGTAGCCAAAAAAGGATGGCCAAAGCGAAAATGACACCCCACCCATTGGGGGCCACTTGAGCCGGAGCCAACCCAGTTCAGAAAAGAAATTCTTGGACAAAAGGGTGAAGGGGAAGACTGAGGCCGTACTCAAACATTTTGAAGTAGAGAGTGACCCATCCCTCTGGAGGATTGTCAGCTCTCTCCCCCTCCTCCGGAATCCTAAGGAGGATGTTCTCAGGGATAGCGAACCCCTTACGAAGGGATCCGAGGTAGTGCTCAGGTATCCTAGAAGGGTATTCCAAACCCTGACCCGAGGTGGAGGCATCACTATCCTCYCCGTCATCGGAGAACCTAAAGTTTTCTATCTCCTCGAGCTCGGACTCTAACCTACGAGCTAAATCCTCATCGGATCCTAAGTCGCTGCTAAAAGAGGACGACATGGCAACTACGTTCGAAAGAGAAAGTGAGGGAAAAGACCGACCTACCAAGGGTTCGAGCTGCCTTCAGATCGAACTCCAAGAATTCAGGRAACGTAAGGTATGACCTGAAGGATTGGGGGTATTTATAGCTCGTCGGAAAAATTTCCCCACCGTACATGTGTAATCAACGAGCGGCTAGGATCCTCCCGAAGATCCGAAGTGTCGGAATATTTGAATATTCCGACGATAAATCCACCGCAACGGTTATATTTTCCCATAAATAGGAAGTCGTCACGCGTCCAAAGCAAGTCGAATGAACTTCTCTGCCAGGTCGAGATCGGACCAGACAGAGAGGGGGCCAATGTTTGGGGAAGGGAATACCCTGGACACGTGGAGGACCCCTATCGGTGCTCCAAGATGACTCATGAGTCATGCCCAGCTCGGACCGCCGAGATCACCACCACTAGCGTTGACAGATGCTAAGTATGAGGGCCGAGGTGAACCTGGCCGAGGTCCGATCAACCGGGAAGCTCGGTGGGGGCCGAGGTGAGCTACTGTCAGCGGCGTGATTATCGAGTGTAACCGTCGGTCCCGAGATTACCGGGTGTAACCGTCGGGAGATTAGCGGGACTACCGCCCATAAGTAAGAGGACCTCACTCCACGATTAGGTACGATGACTTCTGACCTCGAACTAAACTGGGAATCCGACCTATACTGACTTGATCGTCGGAGTGCTCACCTTTTTGTGCATGTCCGCCCAAGTATTCAGATCGGTCCGGAGTCCGAGTTCGAGCTGCAATCTGAAATACACTGTTGTGCACATCCTTGCATAAACAATATTGTTTAAAACAAATCTATTCAGAAAAAATTAACAATTTTGTTGATGTCGCAATCTTGTCTACTGACGTGTCCACCTAAGTAGGACGCTGGACGTAGTTCACCTCTAAAAAAATATGGAGAGCTTTAATATTTTTATGTTAAACTTATTTCTAGGATGGGCTGTCTTCTTTTTTATAGGTGGATAACAATCTACCATGCAGAACAAGGTGGGCCCCTCTCTCGTACGTCCCCTAACAGATCCTTGGGGAACATCTCAGGCGCAAGATCGTGCTCCTACCATCTACCACCGTATTCCTCGTTGTTCTAATGTCGTCAGGAGCGGCGATGGCTCTCTGCCATGCTTCCTGCCAAACATGCACGAGCTTCTCCATCGGTCGGCCTACAAAGTAGGGCTAGTCCCCGCTTTCACGTGGCATCCCGTGATTCACCGCGTCTATGCTCAATTTCTCGTCCATAACAAATTTTATCCTTGAAGCCCAAGATATCGTAAAGAATATATATATATATATATATGTATGTATGTAAACATAGTATGCCTCCTCAAATTATAGTCAGAAATTTTGTTTTCTTTTTTAGTACATTTAGTGATGAAACTTAAACTAGACCATCAATGTTGTTTTACTTGTTTGAACCCATTCATAACATAGATTCTCAATTCATTAAATGTTCTTTCCATTTTTCTTTTGATGACATTTTTTTCCTTTTTTCATAATTATAAAAATACATATTAAGCATATACTAGAATATGTACTAATCAAACTCATATACACATCATCAAAGAATATTAAACTTCATGCTGATTTCTTATGTGGGTCCCATCATAGAATAAAGAAAAAAAAATTACCACTTTCATTTTTAATTAAAAACATCACTTCAACTCTGACTTGTACAATAATAATAACAATGTTATAAATATTATAGTAAAAGACATCCATAATGTACTAAAGAAAAAAAAGAAAAAGAAAAAACCTATCCATAACTCCATGAGTTGCACATTTTATTAACTCCCAAATTAGTTAAAATTTTATATTTATGGTAGTACTTTTTTGTAACTTATATTTTTGTGATCCTTTAAACTGTCTTTGAACTACAGAAGTAAATTAAATGAAATAAATTTAAGTTTCTACCCATAATAAAAAGAATAAAAAATGTCTAATAGATTTCTTAAATCTTTAAAAATTTCTAGTAAATTTCTAATTTCAAAAAATGTTCCGGTACTATAGGAATATAGATATTCCTTCTATTCATTATTTGTTATGACAGCATCATATTATAAATGAGGTAAAGTCCACCAACGATGAAGAATTATTTTTAAAGATAAAGTGTGAACAAAAGGAGAGTAAGTACTCCCGTAGTATTGAAAATTTTTCTCTAAAAGGTGTCTAACCCATTAACTTTGTGTTGAAATTCTTTTAAAAAAAAACTTTATATTGAAACTTAAAAGACAAAATTGAAAGTTCAGTAATTTACCGGACATTATTTAAAGTTTAAGAACCTAAATACAGTTCAAACATATTAAACAAAACTTTAAAAATTTAACAATATCATTTAACCTTTACTTTGCTGTAATGTCTCCATCTCTTTTATGCTTTTTTTTTAAATATTATTTTGCTTCCAGTTTTCAGTAGATAATATTTAGAAGAATTTTTAAAGGAAAAATTCAAATTGAATATTTGAAAATGGCAAATGGGATATATATTACCTCTTTCGTCCTTTTGTTGCAAAAGAAGTTAAATATTTTACTCTATACATATAGAAAGAAGTTAAATTTCTAAATAAAAAATAAAATAATTCCCCAATTTAATGCCACGTGGAAGAAATCTGGCGACCTTGCTTGACCTATTCCCAGCCCCCACGTAATGAAATGCATCCCACGTCAGATAGCTACTAACTTCTTTCCCTTTTCATTTTTAATTTTTGGCTAAATTACAAAAAGAAAATCCTAAACTTTCTCATTTGTTTAAAAAATATTTCAACCTTTTCAAAAGTTTCAATTTTATCTTTTAACATTTCATAGATGTTTCTCTTTTATCAAAGATCTATTAATATTTTGAACAAAAAATCGATGTAGCAGAATCTAAAACAACGTGCAGTTGACGTGAAAGCTCTTCTAAATTAGTCTGAAAAAAAAAGAAAGGTAGAAGAAACTATCATTTTAAAAAGAAGAATTAGAGCAAAATAGAATAGACAACGAAGAAGTAAACTCGATTGACAATTGACAATAGAGGAAGGACAAAATTAGAAAGTTAATTATCACGTTAATTGCCACATATTTTGTCACGTCAACTTTCTAGATGTTTACTGGTCAAGGATAATATTGAAACTTTTTAAAAGATATGAGTACTTTTTAGACAAACTATAAAGTTTATAATAGTTCTTATAAGGAAAACATTAAATTTTAATTGAGGAGGATCTATTTCGACATTAACAGGATGGGTTAATGAACATTTCCATAATATAGATTTAAAAAAGTAAAAATGCATCTTTGTTAATTTAAATATTTTTTATTTTTATAACCTATCTAGAAATATGCATCGATATTTTCATCAACATTTCGCTAAAATTAAGATCTCGATATTTGATGGTACAAAATTATGAATTTAAAATATTAAAAAATATTGTTATTATTAAATTGGACACCGAAAAGTGAACTCGACGTCGCTTCCTTTTTATCAGTTTGTGTGGATCAGTCGCTTTGTCTGAGTGTTGAGAACACTTCCAATCATCAGAGACAAATCAAGATTCCGGTTGGTGGATTTTCTTCTTCTTTTTAAATCAATTTCTCTCTGCGGAATTCGTTTATAGTTTCGAAGAATCCTGTTTCGAATATCCATTAATTTTATCCACAGAATTCGGGAGGAGCAATGCTCTGATTCACAGTTTCAATCTTCTCGTTTCATTTCCTTTGTTTTCTCTTCTTTTTCTCTGATTTTGGTTTTCGGGGAGAGGTTTCGGATGGGTCTCTGCAGCTCCAAGCCCTCCCCAAGCTCCGATCTGTTCTCCGACAAGTCCGGTTCAAAAACCCCCAATGGAATCCCGAATTCGGCTCAGCGGAGCTCTGTTTCCGCCAAGGATGGCGCCTCGCCGCTGCCTCCGACCGCCGATTATGGCAGAGATGGGCAGAAGACGGGGACTAGGAGGAACGACGGCCACGAGATGGAGAATGTGAAGAAATCGCCGTTTTTCCCCTTTTACAGTCCCAGCCCTGCTCACTACCTCTTCTCGAAGAAGTCTCCTGCGAGATCTCCGGCGAATGCCAGCGCCAATTCCACGCCGAAGCGATTCTTTAGGAAGCCGTTTCCGCCCCCGTCGCCGGCCAAGCATATACGCGCGGTCCTGGCGCGGCGGCACGGCTCGGTGAAGCCGAACGAGGCGCCGATTCCGGAGGGTAGCGAGGCGGAGGGGATTGCTGGCCTGGATAAGAATTTTGGGTTCTCCAAGCACCTTGCGAGCAAATACGAGCTCGGGGAAGAGGTTGGGAGGGGACATTTTGGCTACACTTGCTCTGCCAGGTTTAAGAAGGGTGAACTTAAGGGCCAACAAGTAGCCGTAAAAATCATTCCCAAATCCAAGGTTTTTCATCTTCTTCATTTGCATCTTAGATTTTGTGAAAATTCTACTTTCTCTGGAGCTTAGCTTAGATCAATTGCTTGTTAATCTGTTTCTTCAGCCTGAGCTTAAATCTAGCTGCCTAAAGATATAGTTAACATGGCCTATAACTTATCAGGAGTGACTTATGCGTCTTTCTATATTTTTGTTGCTGCAGAAGTTGTGGTTCTTTGTTGAACAGTTTCATTTTCTTTGGGTCAGTAAGTATCTTAGTTGATTTCTTATTTCTTTGATGGCAATAGTTTTTAGGAACCCCGAAGGGGTAGTAGCTCAATTGGCAAGGGTTTGAGGTCTCTTGGTCACACTGGCTCAAATTCGAACCTTCTGGTAAGCTTAGTATCAGAAATCCTTAATGTCTCTTGGGTCCGGGTCCTAAGGAGGATGCGGGTGCCCTGGGTATATGGGAGCAACGTTCCGACTCCTAATTATAAAAAATAAAATAAAATAATAAAAATAAAAAGATAATTTCTAGGCATTGGCCTTTACGAGCTAAAGGAGGCAAGGAAAAGAATAAAACGATTCTTTGTTACTCGAAGTGTCTTGCTATGAAAATCTAGATTTACTAACGCTCGGCTAAGTCTTGAACCTGCGTGCTGAAGCTAAACAAACAATTACTGTTATATATTTTGCTGCTTTTTCTTGTTGCAACATGTGCTCAATTGAAGTTGGTCTTTCTGTCCTAGTTGCTTATGACTTGTGTTCTTACTGGTAGATGACTACTGCCATTGCCATCGAGGACGTCAGAAGGGAAGTGAAGATACTAAAATCTTTGAGTGGTCACAACAATCTTGTAAATTTCTATGATGCATATGAGGATCGTGACAATGTCTATATAGTAATGGAGTAAGCTGTGGTTTCTTCACTCTGGTTTCTTTCATGACTTTAAGGTTTGGATGGGTCTAATCAAGGCTTACTCGGGTTTTTCGTCGGTTGTGAATTTGCAGGTTGTGTGAAGGAGGAGAGCTCTTAGACAGAATACTATCAAGGTACTTGTGCAATATTGAATTGTGGATTAGGGTTCTCTAGCAACATCAAATCTTTAGTAAACTTGTGATTAACATGGCTGAGGATCTCTTGAATTTTCTTTTACTATTTTAGGGGTGGTAAATATACAGAGGAGGATGCAAGGGCTGTAATGACCCAAATATTATATGTTGTAGCATTTTGCCACCTTCAAGGTGTGGTCCACCGGGATCTCAAACCTGAGGTCCGTTATGCGAGTTTAAATAGTATTTTGGTCCCTATACTTTTGACTGGTTCATTTTAGTCTCTAGACTTTAAAAACGTTCATTTTTCGTCCCTATACTTTCAACTTTTGATTGGGTTAAACATCTCGTTGATGCAATAATTAATTCTTTTTTGTAAAAGAAGATAAAAAAGAAGACAATCTTGTTTTGTTTCTCCTAAACAAGGTTGGTAAAAGAATCATTCTTTTTTTAGGGGTAATGGGCATTCATATCCATCTTTAACTTCTGCTAAATATAGTGAATAAGCTTAATAAGGCATACATGGTTTACTGGTATTATGAGTTATTTTATTGGTTAGCCTAAAGTGGTTGTATTTCTAATTCAACACAGCTGCAAATACATTTCCCTTTCTTGTCCATTTCTGCTTTATGAATTCTTGGCTAAGCACACTTTATTGTTTGGATCAGAATTTTCTTTTCACTTCAAAGGACGAAGATTCGCAGTTGAAGGCCATAGATTTCGGATTGTCAGATTTTGTGAAACCAGGTTTTCCCGAGTTCAGTTATGCTAGTAACTTGTTTAGTAACTCCAAGAATGGCAAAATTACTAATGTTCCTTTAATTTTGCTTTGGCAGATGAAAGGCTCAACGACATCGTCGGTAGTGCTTACTATGTAGCTCCCGAAGTGCTGCATAGATCATACAGTACCGAGGCAGATGTCTGGAGTATAGGTGTAATTGCATATATTCTTTTATGTGGGAGTCGTCCGTTCTGGGCTCGAACGGAGTCGGGTATCTTTAAAGCTGTCCTAAAAGCTGATCCAATCTTTGATGAGCCACCATGGCCTTCTCTGTCTTCTGAGGCAAAAGAGTTCGTTAGGTGCCTACTGGTTAAAGACCCACGAAGAAGGATGTCTGCAGCTCAGGCACTGAGTGCGTGCTTCCTGCAGTGAAAAGAACCTAATTTTTCTTGTATTGACGATTCCCACTCTCATTTGTCTTTCCATTGCAGGTCATCCATGGATTAAAAACTCTATAGACGTAAAAGCTCCTCTTGATATACTAATATTTAAACTCATGAAGACTTACATGCGGTCGTCATCGCTTCGAAAAGCTGCTTTAAGGGTATGTTTTCTGTAAAGTTTTGATCTGCTGTTCTTCAATTGTTTTGCTTACTGATCATTCCTTTTTTCTTTGGGTGATGTGGTGGTAGGCTGTGTCGAAAACGCTAACAATAGATGAGCTATTCTATTTGAAGACGCAGTTTTTGCTCTTGGAACCGAGCAGAAATGGCACCATAAGCATAGAAAACATTAAAGAGGTTTATTTCCTTCTGCTTTTCTCTTTTTGTTTTTCTTCAACGTGATTTTAGGTTGGTTTTGTTGATTGCTCTTTTACCAATGGTCAGGCTTTGGTGAGAAACGTAACAAATGCTATGAAGGAATCAAGGATCCCTGATTTATTGACATCGGTATTGTTCTGAACTATATTCTAGAGTCTTACTTCCTTTAAACTTGCATTGCTTATGTTTTGCTTCGTGGCACAGCTTAATGCATTGCAATATAGGAGAATGGATTTCGAGGAGTTTTGTGCTGCTACGCTAAGTATTCATCAACTTGAGGCTCTTGATAGGTGGGAGCAACATGCGCGTTGTGCGTATGATCTATTTGAGAAGGATGGAAACAGAGCTATCGTTATAGAGGAATTGGCTTCGGTATGTTTGATTCACTTTTCACAAAACATCTGCACTTAAAAAAGAGTTATATCGTTTTGCATTGGCTAAAAAAAACAGTTATGTCACAGACATAGCCTCATACGTTAGTTTAGACCTTGTTGTAGAACATAAAGTAGAATAGCACTGCAGTTAAAACATCTCTACTTCCTGGTAGGTTAATATCATTCTATCAAATTTTACGTTGATACATGTAGTTTATTCTACATATCCCACATGTACCATTGCTTTCTTTTAATTTGAAACTCTATCTAATGTGAACTCTGATTTATGATATTCTGGGTATTTCAGGAACTTGGCCTCGGCCCTTCTGTGCCTGTTCATGCCGTTCTCCATGACTGGATCAGACATACCGACGGAAAATTGAGCTTCCTCGGGTTTGTCAAACTGTTACACGGACCTTCGAGTCGAACTCTAGCGAAACCATCATAAGGTTTATAACAAAAATGTTGAAGATTCATTAGAAGTATTGGTTGCGATCCTGGTTCCATCAGCTACAATGTGCTGCATCCGCCAGTCTTGTGGTTTATGATTTAGGGTAATATTTTTTCCCTCTCGAGTGCGATGATTGAATCGAGTGGCTGAGTCAAGAAATACGTTGATTTCCATTTGGCCCGAGCTTGTGAATACTCACGACAGGGATGATGATCTGACCTCATTGGTAAGTGAAGAAGTGAAATGTGGGTGTTGGAGTTGGAGTTTTCTCAGTGTATTTGTATAGGTTTTGAGTCAAAAGTGTGTGTTCAGTTGCAAGTGAAGATATAATCCTCCAAGGTTTTTAGAGGATGGCACTTGCATTTGGATTGTAATCGTGAGGTTTTCTTCTTCTTTTCCACTCAATATTATGAATAGTGTCTTGGCCTATTAAAATGGATGCTTTCTTTCTTCATAGCTATTTAGTTCTGACATTTTAGTCTGAACACTAAAACTTTAAAAGTATTTTGATAGGACTCTGAATTGTATGAAGTGTTAATTGATCCTAAACTTTTAATTTTATGTCTAATCAATTGATAAAAAATTAAAATTCATGATTTATTAAATACTTTGAAAGCATAGACAAAAAATTGGATTTTGTATCTAATGGAATTCTAAACTTTCAATCTTTTCTTAGATATGTGTAGATTTTAGAAAAGAAGTAACGGGTCAATGGGAAGTGGAGTTTTGCTCTCCCATACTCAAGGGCACATGTGCTTGCTCCACGGCTTTACCTTGAGAGACATTAAGAAATTTTTGTATTAGGCTCATTCAAAAGTTCGAACTTGAGATCTCTAAATCAATATGACCAAGAGATTCCAAACTCTTGCTAATAAAGCCATATTTTGGAAGTTTTAAAGTTTAAGAACCTAATAGATACAAAATTAAAAGTTTAGAGATCTATTAAATACATTTTAATGTTTAAAAATTAAACTTGTAATTTTACTTGAGAATTTCATCGTTCTATTTCTAAAGGTTTAAAGACTAAACCAAATTTATGTGAATTGTCGGTCATCGTTTTCTTGGTTTATTTCTTATTCGAGTTTTGATATTTTCCTTTTCTTTATTTCTCCATTGTTGAAAAGTCTTTGCTTTTGGCCTCATTGGATTTATAGGATCAAAAGTGCGAGTGTTGAGCATGGCTCCCGGTTGAGTGGAAACAAGAAGTAGAGGCCAATGCCATTGTGTCAAATCAGAGATGACAAACTCATGATTTTTGTGGAGTGCACATTTTGGGTATGTCCGATATGGGTCACATCACTAACAGGTCAAGATGTGTAAATCGGATTTTAAACAATCAACCAAATTTATCCCCGACTTTATCGGTTGACATGAACATAGTTAAATGGGTCGAGACATCATCAACTTCTCTCAAAGGTCGTAGTTTCTAATTCTCATCTTAGATTTGAATTATGCTATTGAAAATAAAAAAAATAAAATTTGATTGCTTTGGTCGTATATATTTTAAAATAAATATTTGAATTAGTTAGTTTGGGCTCCATTTGATGACGATTACTATTTTTAAAAAATAAAAATCAGACAATAACTGCTTTTTATTAAAAAAAAATAGAAAATCAAACTTAATTGTTTATACTTAGTTTTGGTTTTCTATTTTCTAAAAAGTTGAAGAGTTTTATTTATAGTTCAACAAGTACAAGGTTGGAGATTGAACCATGGATCTTTGAGATGGTAATAGATACCTTATTCACTTGCTTATACTTATTTTTTGTTTTCTATTTTCTGTAAGAGAGTTTTATTTTTAGTTCAACAACTGCAAGGTTGGAGATTGAACCACTGATCTTTGAAATGGTAATAGATGTCTTATTCACTTGAGCTATGTTTAGATTGACAAAAAGTCAGAGTTGGAGAGGTATGCTAGAAAGAGAAAAATATATGTAGATAAGGCACATTGAGGTCACACCAAGGCACTTCGATGAATCCAATGTTACCCTTTTGCCTCTAGAGCTAATGCCTAATTCGACATAATTGATTATTCTCTCTATCACTAGATGAGCCGGTAGAATTTAATCATCCAAAGGTAAAGCTAAAACTGAGGTTGTCTGACAGACAGAAAAAAAAAAAAAGATATCTTAAGGCTCTACTAGCATCGTTATGATGCTTACTAGAGCATCTATAATCCTAAAATCAAGTGTTTGATGGTTAAAGAGAGAAACAATAACACATTTGTCATCAATTGAAAATGCATACCTTAAATGATTCTACACCCCTTTCTGATTGTTGTTGGATAATCTCGTGAAAGCCGAATTCCTTATCAAATAAGATCATTTGCATAATAGAGGAATCATGATAAAAAGAAAATATAAAACTATTGTATAATAATTTTGGTAAGCCAGAATTATCGAAAATAAAGTCATGAGCCAAGTCTGTTCAGTGATCAACTTCCTATTTGAGTTGTCAACATCAAAGTTTTAGACAAAGATGAGAGCTAATAGACTTTCCTTGACATGAGGTTAATAACAGGCATTGTTTCTAAACCTAGGAGCTCTTGAGAAAAAAAGTATCTTTGCCTGGCTACTCAAACGATGAATATTTACCAATTCGAGCATAGTAATGGATATAGCAACTATTATATTTTCAAAGGTTGAAGGTTGAATCCCCACTTCACTTTTATTAGAAGTCAAAAAAACAAAAGAAAAAAGTTTAGCTAGAATGTCATGAGATCATTTCAAATTGCTACGGGCAAGATGTACCCATAAAGACTAATAGGATTGGTATTAGGGATATTACTAGAGTATTAAGGGCATATTAGTAACTAGCTAAGGAAGTTGTAAGGAGAATTTGTTATAAATAGAGTTAGTGGAAAAGGTTTAGGAGGCAATTGTTTAGCATGGTTTAGACTCGAGTACGAATACTCAAGAGAGGGAATGGTTCAAATATCTCGAATTACTTGGTAGTTATTGTAGTTCATCTATCTTGTGTATTTAAATATTATTCTAATTATTTGATCCTATCAAAGACTTGACGTATATCATTATAAATAAGAATTGAAAAGAAAAAACACGTGAAAATATGACTTAACAATTGAGATCTTTGTCCTCCCAAATTTTAGCCAAATATTCACTTCATTATTATTAAACTATATAAAATTAAAAGTAATCTTTTGTTATATTTCATTAATACCAATTATTATTTTTAGCTTTTACAGTTCTTTCAAAAAAAATTACTACTTAAAATAATAACTTCAACTCAAATCTAAAAAATTATAGATTTTTAAGACAATTACACATTTAATTAAATTCATTAGAACCTTATTTAATTACTAATGAAATCAAAATATAAGCGAATGAACTTGGTAATAGGCTAATGATTTGACTTTCAAAGGTGACTCTTTGTATACTTTCTATATGGGTGAACATTTTTAGGATCAAATACCAACACCAATATCTCTATTTTTAGTTTGAACTTTAAACCTCTTGGCAAAGAATATATGTCTTAATCAGTTCAGTTATGTTTATGTTAGTAACTCTTATTATGGGTTGTTGCAGCTTAAATTCTCCTAATTTCTAATCGAAGTAAAAATAAAAAAAAAAATAAAAAAATATTATTATTTGTTTAGCGCAATCATGAAGTGAGAAGAAATTTCTGAATGAAAGAATAGGGACCTATGTTGGATGTCTACGTAGAACCTTGTTCTTGCCCTTTGACTGCATCCTCTTGCTGCTCTCTTTACTGTTCAAGGTTTGTCTTGCAGGATGGAAATGTCTTTGATTTTTTACACCTCCTAATAGTTACAAGGGAAAAAGATGGTAACATTCAATCTTCTCTTCTTCCATTAAAGCAAGCTTATTTTCTTTA